ATATATATATATATATATAACTAAACGAACTTTATGGTTGTACGGCAGTGAAGCATCAGTGGCAACACTGATGTTACTGTCTTTGATGATGATGATGATAACAGTCAAATAGGAAAATTCCTTCTCTGTAGTTGCAAGTCCCTAAACGAATCATCAAATTCGACCAAGAGCTAATGCAACCTGGCCGGCAGCTCCGCGTGATGCCAAAACTCAACAACTCATAGCAGCGATGTTTATCTGTTGACCACACTGGACCTTCTCTTTCTCTGGTAAGATCGGTTTTCTGGAGGAAAAAGGAATCCCCATTCCGGAATATATTTAGATTTCGTTAAGCGAGGACAAGAACTTGAGGACGCTAGTGTATTGAGTAAAACACACCTATGGTTGATAACACGGATGTGTCTGATAGTATCAACTCACTGATTTAGAACAGCAGATAGATCTTTTGTCCAGAACTCGGAAACTCAGTGAGCGATATCACTCCGCTGTCGAAGCGATAAAATTGGTGGGACTACCTAACCGGAAGACCTCCCATCGTCGTCAGTGACCAGAAATCAGATGCCTTTACGCACGACGGGGTACAAAACGTTCAGCTTTTTTTCAGCTGCAAAAGCCAGGTGTAAAAATGTAGTGGTTCCGGCTGCTATGGCCTCGTTTACGGAAGACAAGGGGAATAAAGGAATGAGGAATGCGTGTTGGAGGCGACGTTTTGGTCATTCATTGGGGTCAAGTGGTTCTGTTTGGCAGATATGACAGGGACTAGAGTTACTCAATGAAGGCGATAGCCTTGACGCAGGATCGCTATTGGCTGTCAGGGTGACTAACCACTAGTTGATAGCTTTTCACAGTCCACATCCGGAGTGACGCCAGTTACCAAAGCCGTCCAGTTGGCTAGTAAGGACTTCTATGCTTCGCTTCCAAGTCGTGGACTGATCGCCTCTGGGTCACCTTCATCGGACACAAGGTTGGGTGAAGTGGGCTATACGAGGCAGAGATGGCTCAAGTGGTTAGAGCGCGAATTTACTGACCGGAAGGTCCGTGGTTCGAACCCCACCTCCGCCACTCGACTTCCCCTGTCTAGGCTTGGGCAACCTGACAGTATCCCAGCCCTCGTGCTTCCTTCGGGTGGCATGGCAGCTAGGCACCGAAAGGGCGCTACAGCTGAACGACTTACTTTATACGAGGCAAAGGACCCTGTGGAGTAAACACAAACTATTAAGTGAGACCAGCTGATCTAAGGAGGGGGGTGAAATTTCCACAAATCTATCTGGCGTATTCTAGAATTACCGATTTGATATCCCTAGGAGACCCGCGCGACACTTCAGAGGCACCGACTGCCAAACATCTAGTCATCAAAGACCAGCACGCGGCGGCTACGCATCTGATCCATAAGGTAGGAAGGATCGGCCCGCGGGATTGCAAACCCTGGTTTAAGCAGTCAAGCTGATGGCACGTCAGCGCCACAAATGTCAGAGATTGGCAAACGCTGTCATGGCCTTCCCAATTAGGGAAATCACTTTGCCTCTAACCAGTGTGCTGAGAATTGTGCAGCTGTCGAGGTGAACGAACTTATCAACCAAATCGGTTGCTTCGCTTGCAAGCATGAGCTTTGGGTTGGGCCACACTCAGTCTTACAGTAACACCTTTCCTTTTACAGGTCGAACCGAACTGTGCGGAATGGTCAAAATAGCACTATCTTAGTTTCCTACAAAGTCAGAACACAAACGAGGCAAGATGGCCCAGCAGACACAGCACGGAATTACCGAGTGGGAGGTCCTGACTTCTACATCTCGACTTCTGCTGTCTAGGATTTGGTAACCTGACAGCCGCCGTGTTTCCTTTGTGGCACGGCAACCAGACGCCGGAAGGGTGTTGCTGGTGAACAACTTTTTTCAAGAAAATTTCAGAATTTTGAAGCCATCTTGTTTGAAGGATCCCAACACATCGATCCGAATGCTGTTGTGCTTCAGGGCTCGAGCCCGGGCTTTAGTACTAACGTACACTTGACTTAGATCTGGCAAACCTACTGACCACCGCTGACATGCCATCAATTATACGTTCATGAACGTATATTAGTCGTTATTAGTCGGTTATATGGCGGTTAAAGTCAGTTATTTGACGGTTATTTAACCGTGTAGCTATCATCCAATCAACATGAAGTGTTGTTGCCACATTCATTCACATAAGTTTTTCTTATCACACACAAAGTTTGGCGTAAAACAAAAGTGCATTATTCCAATAGATTTTAAGAAACCCGTTCTGACAATTTTTTGTTTATCTGCATCAGTGTTTAAGTAAATGGCCGTAGCCGCCAAGCCCATTCCCAGGATCGTCGCTGACCCACGCGCCTGCTGTCTCCACGTGTTTGTGAATTTCTATCTGGAGGAATGGTAAGTCACGACTGCTGATGCATGTATGACAACTGTAGCCTTCCAAACGTGGTTTGCTCATTTCAAGGTGGACACTTAACCGCAAACTAAAGCGTGCTAGAGAGTTAGCCTTGGAACAACCACCCAATTCGATGAACGCACGCGACTTTAACCGTGCAGTTCAGGAGATCGATTCACTAGCGCACAGTATAAATGCCATTAGATGACTAATGTTCTAATTAGATGAA